TATCTAATTTAACTGATTAAGTTGAAGGCAAAATGCAGAGAAAAGTGAAAAACAGCGTTTCCCGTTTTGGCACAAAACACCACAAGTCAGAACTATGAAGGGTTAAATCTAGAAGAGGATCATGTGACTCCTCTCTGACCACACACCATTTCCTTAAAGCAGATTTCAAAAGCATACTATCATATGTAGTGATGTGTATCATAAGTAGCATAAACTGATGTGTCCAATTGTATTCATTATACACGATCCTAATAAAACCAGCAACTCTCATTTGGAGGTACTAAACACAAATCCATTAAGTTTAACACATAATGCAGTTTGAGTTTTTCACCCACAATGGTATTTTCAGGGTTTTTCTTTCTGCAGCAGTAGAGATGATACAGTATTCCTTATCTTAAGGTTGAACTTCCCTTGTCCTCTGACCTGATAAATTTAGAAGTCAAAATGGAAGCTTTTTTTATCTCAACTTTCACAAATTTCCCTGTGTGGATTTAGATTTAATTTGAATTATTTTAAATACCGAAGCACTTAATTAAAGGTAAAAAAAACCAGAAGATTGTTTTGTCTCGCTGAATGAGACGGAGAAACATTGAATAAAAGTATTCTCTCTCTCGCTGCGGCGGCTGTTATCAGAGTGCAGAGCTGCTCAAGGCCGCTTCAGGGTGATGTTTTTTTTTTTTTTTAACCCTCTTAATCTCTCGTTGCACCAAACATTCAGATGTTACAGAACATTTGGGGGCGTTATAGTAACTTCTTTATTTTAGATTGAAAAGTCCTAATGACCTTCATTGTTTTTCTGTGGCCTCCTTTCAACCTGTAGCCGGTTTGAACTGGTCCGAACCGACCACAACATCCTTCTCTGCTATTTTTTGAAAGCATTGCATGTTCTTGAATAAAGACAAAAGCGACTTCATCAAAACCACAAAACTGTTTCACATAAACTATTTTTGAACATTAATGTACAGCGTTTTAAATGATAGCACGCCTGTGTTCGGTATGCAAACGTCACAACAGTTTCAGTTGCGTCATAGACAGCAAGAAGCTAAAGATTTGTAAGATTAAACTACCAGAACAGCTGCAGAATATGGACTGATAATTAATGCATGGTTTTCTGATTGGTGGTTTACAAATGAATGGGAAGAGAGTGACATGCATTTGTATGAGCCCTTGAGTCAACACGTGCGCTGCAGGTCAGGGGTTTGTCCCATGAGTCATTGCAAAGCTGGAAACTGACCACGCTTTTAGATCGACCATGCTTGTTCCAAAAAAGTTTAAAAAATTTAGTTTGTTTTTCCAAGTTTGAAGACGTTTCACTTCCCATGCAGGAAGCTTTCTCAATTCAAAATGTCTGAATTAGCGTTGAGTTTGGGCTTTATAGAGTAGCTCAACAAAGCCTTGTTATGGCTTAGACCACATGATAAATGAACTAAAAGAAGAGGTAGTTGAGGTCGTTGTTGGCCTACAAACCTGATACTGGCCTGTGCCTCTGAAAAGGGGGAGTTGTTAAGATAATTGTTGGCCTGGCTGACCAACGAGATGTTCTAGTCCCCTGCATGGCGATGAGGATTGACAGGAAGGAATCAACTCTATCACTGCCTTGTAGGTTTTTAGACCGGAGGCCTTCAACAGGGGGTCCACAACCCCTAGGGGGTCCACAGAGGTACTGCATGGGGGTCGTGAAAGTTTTGGTTGATTAGACTTTTTTTTTATATTCCCCCCCCGAGATTCTTTCCACTAGTTGAAATGTCTTCAAATGCACATTAACATGAATTGAACACACTGTAGTAAACAGATAAATGGAGGCAGAAGATGTCTTTCAGTCATCAATGCACACATACAGCGACACAAAGGAGCTCTTTCAAGCTGGGGACCATTTCATTCACAACACCTGTCCAATCGAACAAGAAATAGGAATACTTTAATAATCTCAGGGCAAAATTACTTTCGTCACATGACTCCATCTGTAATGGAGTGATTATAGGACTAGTTAAATATAACACAAATTCATAAAATATATATAATTTGCGCTCCATCTTGCCATCGGTTTGGGGGTCCTTGGCCTGGAGAATGTTGAAGACCCCTGTTTTAGACCACAAGTTTAGTTAGATCATGCCTTAAACTCAAATACCAAGCCTTGCCACACTTTTGCTTGAATCAAGGCCTAAACTTTGCACTATTTCAAGATGAATATGGTTCAACCTAAACCTTTTCGCTGTACCTCGGTTTGTAAAAAGATATTTTGTGGTCACCCTTTGAACTTTTCTATACATTTGTATTTTCTCCTACATGGTAAATGGCTTGACTTATACAGCACATAAGTCAGACAACTTGACCAAAGCGCTTTAAAACTTCATTCCGTCATTCACCCAGGCCTGCCATGTCGTTTTTCCACCAGGGTAGGTGGGGGCATTTGTAATCATTACATGAACTTTTCTTGTTTTTTTTTGTAGGCATGCAAACAGCACCCTGACAGGAAGTAATAAAATATTTGCCCTAATGTGACTCATGGAAGATTCCTTTGCATTAAGAGTGACTACATTTCCAGGTAGGAGAGGAGGATGAAGTACATTACGGGGAAAAGTTTCCTCAATATTATTTCAGAGAATAGACAAAAATAACAAACGTAGGTGTAGCTATCTTGTATTTAACTGAATATGTAAATATCTAGTTTTCATTTTTCCTTTAAAAATGATTTCTCATAAATCAGTGTTGTTTAAGTTTGAAGTCCTGACCTTTCACACTAACCAAATGTAATCTCATCCAACCTGTGAAGCGGGCTTATTGTTATCAGTTGATGTTGGACTGTGGCTTCCATATCTGTCAATGCAAACAATTTTTGGGTTCTTAAAAAACCCCAAAACAAGGTTGCAAAACAGATGCCTTATTTTTTAGGAGTGTTTTTATAAAACAAATGGGCAAAAATAGCAAAGATAAAGCATAGCTAACATTTACCTCAATGATCACAAGACCATCCTATTACAAATAACTACCAGCATTTTAGACTAAATGCACTGGAAAGACAGAAAACATTGGAGTGCTAGTGTGATGGTCTGGGACTACGTTCCTTACTTATACAGGTCTGTATAGGTAAGCGTAGCAGAACACTTAGCTCTGACAAAAACATGAAATGCTTTGGAGTAGTCTGGTCAAAGTCCAGTGTAAAAACAGATTAAGATGTCCTCAAACGGCTCTGCTGAGGGAGTTCCTCTGATTTATGACGTAGGTTTGAAAGCAGCTGTGGCTGCAAAGTTTGGACACAACCAGCTAGGAATAATAAGTGTTTACTCATAAATGAAAAATACTACCGGTACTTTAAAACCATTTTTATATTCTAGTGGGAAAAAGTGAAAGAAAAATTTAACTGAGCTGCAACAAAACATATTGATTTTAATAAATAATCTGTAGAACTTCCAGGTTCTAAAATTGAAATAAAAAGAGACAAGCTCCAACATAAGTTTTTTAAATATCATTTTAATACTTTTCTTAAAAAAAAAAAAAAATGCTGTACTCCATTATATGAAGATGAATCTATTGACCTCAATGCCTCACTCACCAACATACAAACACATTGTTCTGGATGAGATAAATCAAAGAAAAAAAAAAGAGCAAAGGAAAAAGAGAAACCTCGAAGCTGTGAAGAAAGGGCAGCAAAATGCAGGAAATACAAAAAAAAAAGGAAACGATAGAAGAAAATGATAAATGAAAACCCTCTTGGATCTCCGAGCCGACCTACAAAAACCGGTCATAGCTTCCACCAGATAAACACAATGGCACAAAAATCCAAAAAAGCTCTCACTAAAGACGACTGAGTAAAGATAAATTGATAGAAGAGAGAAAAAACAAAGCTAGCATAGGGATGTAGAAGCTGTACGGATTATCATGGCAGATGAGATCGGTAGAACAGGCTAAAATATTCACATGAAGGAAACAAGGGTTTTAAAAACCAATTCCGCAACTGAGTGCAGATCCATTAAAAAAAAGGATGGGACTTATTTATCACATGAAATTCATTCGAAACTGATTTGCAACTATTAAACAGAAAAAAACTGTTGCATAACTTCAGATTTTAAATTGGGGGGGAAAGCAAAATTAAATAGCAAGGATGACATTGTTTAATAGAAAGTGAAAAGACAATGCATTTTATATGTGAAACAACTTTCAGCACTCAATGGATTGGTTTTGGCATAGAGTTAAGAAAAAATAAATGAAAACGTGAGAGTAAGACAGACGAAACAATCCTCTGAATAGAATCATAAAAAAGTTTTTTCTTCTTTACAGTAAAGTCTACAAAATCAAAACCATAGCTCAGAGATGAACACAGACACGAGCTTTGCTCTCCACAAATAATATCCCTCTCATTCTTCTTCACTGACTTTTCATCATATATAATATATATATATATATATATATATATTTGTGTATCTATTCATATATATAATATGTAGAATTTGTAGGGTGTGATTAGTTTACAGGCCAGAGCGCTAGGCAAGGGACACATTTAGAAACTTTTAACACATGATCATCTTTTTTTAGTTTCGCTCCTGAATGTTGCAGAGGGAAGAGGAAGGTCAAACGAAGAGGGTGTTTTTTTCCCCCCCTCCAATTTGTCCTGAGAAAACAAACTTCTAATGATAGCCGACATTTCTTACAAACTTAACCAAAATAACTCAAATTTCAAACCATCCAGATACAGAATAAAAGTTTTTAAAAAGCCATCAGTTTTCCTGTTTTTTAAAGCCCCCCTGCAATTTGCTCCAGTCTCTTAATTTAACATAATCCAGTAGATTAAATCAGAATTCTCTTCTTAATGTTTCAGACGGTGCTTGTTTATCTCGTTGTCCTTGGAGATCAATAAGTAATTAATAACATCAAGCAACAAACATATCTGAGGCTGGGAGAGAGAAAACCCTTCATTCTACGTTCCAAATCACGACAAGCGAGAGACAAGGACAGATGCTGTTAGGTCCAGGATGTGGAATTGTATCGGCGGCAGCCATGTATCTCAGAGCTTTGTTGCATGTTTTTTTTTTCTGTTTTTGTTTTTTTTTGTAAATATGCAAATGTTGTAACTTTAAGTCCTTCTCTCATTCCATCATCCTTTAGCTTTCAGAAAAGACTCTCCTCAAAAATGGCCATCAGCTCACTCTGGAAATTAATGTCAATATTATCCGTCATCTGCAGGAAAACACAAGAACAAAATGTACGGTCATAAAAGGATCATAGATAAGGACAAAACAAAATCTAAAGATCTAAACCACAGCACAGATCTTACCGCCTCTCTCCAGCGCCTGTCCCGCTCGCGAAGGCGCTCCCTGTCCCTCTGCTGGTCCAGAGTGCTGTGTGCAGCCGAGGGGGGCGGAGGCGCGGCCTGTTTGGCAGGGGCAGGAGGAGCTTGAGGGGAGTGACTGGGCGGAGAGGACTGGGCTGGAGGGGTTGGAGCAAGGGGTGACTGTCGCCCTCGACGACCCTGCTCCATTGTGTCATCGTCGTCACGGCTACAACACAGAAAGAGGCAACAACTTTGAGCCACCTCATGCTTTCATATGTTCTAATATTGAGATGTTTGTTGATGAAAACAATGACACTGAAAGGTTAATTAACCAACATGACAATTAAACATTTTTCATCATAAACTTCTCAGCTGTTCAACCGCTTAAAGAACACGAGGATGGCAGGAAACATGGGAAGGATGATTGGAGGACCAAAGGAAGAAAGATAAACAAGACAAGACTATCTGATCTCCTTCCTGTTCTCCTGTTGGATGGACGCTCATCCTGTGGCGATTCTGCTGGAGCTTTTCATCATGTTGGGAAGGAGAAGATCCTTTGCTTTGGGATAAGTCACAGTCTACTTCTCCAGTGATATGTCCCTCTCACTTACCGTAGCATTTCTTGCACTCTCTTTGCCTGCTCCGCCTGCACTTTCAGCTGTCTCTCCCTCTCCTCTTTCTCTATGGCCGCCCGTCTGTACCTTTCGAAACTGTCACTAGATGAGCGCAGTGATGAGGTCGGGGCAGACTGGGACCTCTGAGCCAGGCTGGCCCAGGAACCCATGTTTTTTAATTTCACATCCTAGAAAGAAATAGAAAATTTGTCAGAAAAACAAACAAAAAAAAACAATGGAAGTTAGTTTTTTGTATGTAACTTGTGCAGACCTGAGTTTTCTTGGATGTAATCGGGGTCTTGGGTTCTTGCTTGACTTTAAAGTCCTGCTGGGAGGCAGCCGGTGATGAGGAGTTTTGGAGGCGGGGGACGGGGCGAGAACCATCAAGTGGCTTTATCTCTACACCTAAGGAAGAAATGAAAAAGTTAACCTCAAACCTTAACTAAAACCTGCTTTTAACCATTTCCTTCCTCACTTTGTTTTAATAATAATAATAATAATAATAATAATAATACATTTTATTTGTATTGCACTTTACATTTAAAAAAAAATCTCAAAGTGCTACAAAATTCATAGTTAAAACAAAACCGTACAATAAAAACAGCACACATAGTTAAAATGAGACATTACAATAAAATAACATACGTAGTAAAAAACAAAACAGTAAAATAACCATAAAACCACACAGATAAAATACTAACTAATGTTCAAAGGCCATTTTAAATAAAAATGTCTTGAGGCCTTTCTTGAACGCCTCCACACACTGTGGGACCCTAAGGGACTCTGGGAGGCCATTCCAGAGTTGTGGGGCAACTGCCTGGAAGGCCCTATCTCCCATTGTGCAGAGCTTGACTCTTGGCTGGTGCAGTCGGTGGGTGCAGGTGGTGGACCGGAGGGTTCTGGAGGCGGTGTGAGGTGTGAGGAGTTCCTTGAGGTAAGCAGGGGCAGTTCCATGTATGCACTGGTGAATCAGGAGGCAAAGTTTGTAATGTATTCTGTGTTGGATGGGCAGCCAATGAAGGGACCTGAGGACTGGAGTGATGTGTTCGTGTTGCGCCTCCTCGTCAGGACCCGGGCAGCACAGTTCTGGATGTGCTGCAGCTTTTGTAGACTTTTGCCAGGGACCCCGACGAGGAGGGCATTACAGTAGTCCAATCTGGAGGAGATAAAGGCATGGATTAACTTTTCTGCGTCGGGTTGGGAAAGGGAGGGGCGGAGTTTGGCGATGTTTGAGGTGGAGGAAAGAGACCTTGCAGAGGTGACGTATGTGGGAGTCGAACGTGAGATGTGGATCCAATTTGACACCAAGGTTTGTAACAGATGAGGACAGAGGGATGTTTTGACCGAAGATAGGGATACTGTTTAGGGAGAAGGACTTGGTTTGGTGTGGGGTGCCAATGAGAATGGCTTCTGTTTTGTTGCTGTTGAGCTGTAGAAAGTTTTCAGCCATCCATGTCTTTATCTCCCCCAGGCAGCAGTGAAAAGCAGATGGCAGAACTGTGGGAGAAGTGGAGTCCATTTTTATGTACAACTGGGTGTCATCTGCATAACAATGAAAAGAGACCTTGTGTTTTTTGATTATCTGACCGAGTGGGAGCATGTAGATGGTGAAAAGGCACTCCCTTGAGGCACTCCGCAGGTGACTGTATGGGGTGATGAATTGGACTGTCCTATGGCAACAAATTCGGACCTTCCCGTGATATATGACTGGAACCAGTTGAGTGTGGTTCCAGAGAGTCCAACTGTGGACTGAAGACGATGGAGTAGGATGGTGTGGTCAACGGTATCAAAGGCAGATGATAAGTCCAATAAGAGGAGGAGTGATGGTGAGCCCTGGTCCGCTGTCATGAGTAGGTCATTCATGACGCGGACCAGGGCTGTCTCTGTGCTGTGTGCTGATCGGAAACCGGACTGAAATTTTTCATATAGTTTATGGGTGTGAAGATGACTGTGGAGTTGAGCTGCTACAACTTTTTCCAGAACTTTGGATAGGAATGGCAGGTTTGAAATGGGTCTGTAGTGGGCCAGGATTTCAGGGTCGAGTGAGGGCTTTTTCAGATGGGGGCGAATGACTGCAGTTTTGAGAGCTGGAGGAACCTGACCGGAGTGTAATGACTGGTTAATTATTGCTGTGATTAATGGACTGGTGGCTGTGATGTGATTTTTTAGTAGTGCTGTGGGGAGAGGGTCCAACACGCAGGTGGATGGCCTCATGCTTTTTTTGATCTTCTCCACCTCTGTCTGTGTGACGTCTGAGAAAACTGAGAAAGTATTGTGTTGTGAAAGTCATTTAAAGTTAGATACACAGTTAAGAAAATTTAGAAGCTGTTCATAACATGAAACATCAAACTCAGTTTGTGTATCTAGACAGTATGCCTAGTCAAACAAATTAAAATATTATCAAAGAGAAATAAAATATCTTTGGAAAGGTTCACTGATTTCAGTAAATGCTTAATCAGTTTATCTTGTTTATATACATATATATAGGTTTTTTTTTTTTATTGAATTATTGTGGCCTCTTTAAAAATTTATATGACAAACTTCTAGACTTTTCTGAATTCCTATTTTTGTGCTTTATACTCCTAATGTTTTAGATAACTTTAAACACTTATATGTAAATGCTTATATTCAGAATGAACAGACCAAAAAAGGGTTATCACATCAGATGATCTGACTCAGATCAGCCTAATTTAGGAATCTGTAAAACTTAAACATACCAAATGTTGACTGGATTTGGAAATGTATGCCAGGCCTGTAAGTGGCGCTGTGGTGCCAAAGCAAAAATAGGCGAAAACAGGCAACGAAATGTTGGGCATGCGCAGTAATATTTATACAACAACCAAACCGGAAAATGGCCCTGCGGGTCCATTTTCGTGGTTCAGTCAAATTGAGGTGATGAACTATGTCGTCTATATTAATCTGTTCTTCCTGGAGATATTCCAGAAGAAGAAGATTCTGTTGTAAGCCCGACAGCAGGGTGAGTAGCATGAGCAGCAACCATTCAACACAGTACGGCGCCATTGTTGTTGTAATACTGTGTCGCACATGCGTTTTTAGAGGCGACGCTATGACACATGCGTGTAAGAAAAAAAATGCGGTTAGAGCTTAAAGATGGAAACGCGAAAACGGCGTTTCAAAATCTTCCCACTCTGAAGGCTTAATAAAAAAAAGATCGTTTACAGACCCCCGAAACGCCGGCTTCGTATGGATGAGAGGCTGGTTTGGTGAAAAATTTGTGCGTTTAGGCCAGGGTTTGACTTCGTGTGGCCTAAATCTTTTACTCACTGTGTGTGTTGTCAGGTTTGTTTGCGTCTTGACAAATTGCAGGATTGAAAGGTGAAGAAGGTAGACCAGGAGACTGTGGAAGCTTCTCCTCTTTAACTCCAACCAGGTTGGATCTCTGTTCCTAAAAGATGGCAAATCAGTGGATATATATGATCAAGAAAAACTTTCAAAGACCTTAATGCAGCCTCCTCACATCCATACAGTAATAAAACATTCCTGATGTGCTTACATGTTTTTTGGTCTGTAAAGGTGACTGCTGTCCCATAGGATGAAACTGAGGCATTTGAGGCGAATGCATCATCAGAGGGGAGGGGCTTTCACGCAGGCAGCCTAAACACAGGAAGCATGTTTTCTGTTACTGACCACAGTTGAGTTTAGAGCTGAGCTATGTAGCACCACAGTATGGATAGTAGAAACACCTGCGTATCTTCAGCAACCTGTCATGGGTAAATATTAACAAATAAACAGCAAAATATAAATAATATCTTATTGGTTGCAGGTTTCTGATGTCAGTAATATAGAGCTCTTGGTTGTTGCAGTAAGTTAACGTTTTTCGTTTATCTCAGGATGTTAAATACCAGTTAATAATATAATTAAATTCAGATTATTTATATTGCTCCAATTCACGATACATGTCATCTCAAGGCACTTTACAGAGACAATTTAACCAGATCATACAGTCAAATTGGTTCAAAGTTTTCTATCAAAGGAAACCAGCTGATTGCATCGACTCATTGGCCCTGTTCGGATTCATGGGACGCGTCCGCAGAAGGCCAAATGCGAAGCACGGTTACGTCATAGCACGGCGCCGAGGTCTGTTTGGATTCCAAGACTCCTCGCTATGTGGCCTTAAAATGCGCCCTTCTTTTTGCCCGATTTGAAGGACGATCCGATGTATCCTCGCTCATCCTTGGTTTTCCCAGGATTCATTGCGAGACCAGGCAAGCCGGCTGCTCCGTGATCAAAGGAAAAAGGCACTTGGTGCCAAACAGTGTTGAAAATTATAAGTTCAGTTTAATATAATACAAGTATGTGAATAGTTCCGTCTGAAATGAAAGAAAATAGTCGTTTTAATGGTTATTGAGTCAGATGCATCAGGGGAGCCCAGAGCACCACACTACCACCACCAGGTATGAATGTAGATATGTTCTTTTTTTTGGAAAGCTGAGTTGTTTCACAGCAGATCTAACAAGAAGCACATTCCTCAGAAAAAAATAGCAAAAGCCTTATCA